CAGCTGTTACAGAGGCTTAGGCAAGAGGATTGCTTGAGCCCAGGAGTATGAGGCTGCAGTGAAATATGATTGCACCACTGCACTCCAGCCTGGGAGACTGAAAGAGACCCTGCCTCTAAAGAAAAAAAAGTGGCTGGACACTGTGGCTCATGCCTGTAATCCTAGCACTTTGGGAGTCCAGGGTGGGCAAATCACCTGAGGTCAGGAGTTCAACACCAGTCTGGTCAACATGGTAAAACCCTGTCTCTACTAAAAATTAAAAAATTAGTTGGGTGTGGTGGTACATACCTGTAATCCCAGCTAATAGGGAGGCTGAGGCAGGAGAATTGCTTAAACCTGAGAGGTGGAATGAACAAAGATTGTGCCACTGCACTCCAGTTTGGATGTCAGAGTGAGACTGCGTCTCAAAAAAAAAAAAGGTGACTTAACTATAATTCAAAATAATTATTAGACCAAGGTTTTCACTATTTTTAATCCTGATAACATGGTTCTAGTCTTCATTTCTCTCCTAGTTGAATGACTTTGGGCAAATCTTTTCATATCTAGGGTGGCTGTTTTCTCCTTTGTAATGAAGATATTTCAAAGTTTATGAATACAGGCTTATTTTATTGTGCTTTGCAGATATTGCATTTTTCACAAATTGCAGGTTTGTGGCAACCCAGCATCAAGCAAGTCTGTCAGCGCCATTTTCTCAACAGCATATACTAACTTCATGTGTCTGTGTCACATTTTGGTAATTTCTTGCAATATTTTAAACTTTTTCATTGTCATTATCTGCTATGGTGATCTATGATCAGTGATCTTTAATGTGACTATGTTAATTGTCATGGGATGCCAAAAACCGCACCCATGTAAGACGGTGAACTTAATCAACAAATTGTGTGTGTACTAACTCCACTGACTGGCTGTGTCCCCAACTCTCTCCCTCTCCTTGGGCCTCCCTATTTCCTATGACACCACAATATTGAAATTAGGTCAATTTATAACCTGGGAATGTTGTCTGTGCGTTCAAGTGAAAGAAAGAGTTGCATGCGTCTAACTTAAAAGCTAGAAATGATTAAGCTTAGTGAGGAAGGCATGTTAAAAGCCAAATAAACTGAATGGGCCTCTTGCGCCAAATAGTTCGCCAAATTGTGAATGTAAAGGGAAAGTTCTTGGAGGAAATTAAAAGTTCTACTCTAGAGAACACATGAATGATAAGAAGGTGAAACAGTCTTTTTTTTTTTTTGAGACACAGACCCTCTCTGTCACCCAGGCTGGGGTGCAATGGCACGATCTCAGTTCACTGCAACCTCCGTCTCCTGAGTTGAAGTGATTCTCCTGCCTCTGCCTCCATAATAGCTGGGATTACAGGCACATGCCACCATGCCGCGCTAGTTTTTGTATTTTTAGTGGAGATGGGTTTCACCATATTGGCCAGGCTGGTCTTGAACTCTTGACCTTGTGATCTGTATAGGCGTGAGCCACCAAGCCTGGCCAAATTGCTTCTTATGGATGATTGAAGAAAGTGGTTTATTAAGATGGAATCTACTCCTGGTGAAGATGCTGTGAACAAGATTGAAATGGCAACAAAGGATTTAAAATGTTACATAAACTTAGTTGACAGAGTAGCAGCAGTGTTTGAGAGGATTGACTCCAATTCTGAAAGAAATTCTACTATGGGTAAAATGCTATCAAACAGCATCCCATGCTACAGAGAAATCTTTTGTAAAAGGAAGAGTCAGTCGATGTGATGAATGTCATTGTTGTTCTAATTTAGGAAATTGCCACAGACACCCCAACATGCAGCAAACACCTCCCTGATCAGTCAGCAGCCATTAACATCAAGGCAAGACCCTCTACCAGTAAAAAGATTATTATTCAGATGATCATTAGCATTTTTTAGCAATAAAGGATTTTTTT